TGCATGGTCGCGTAGACCTCGTCACTCTCCGCTTCTGCAGGCATCACTCGCCGTGGATCCCACGCCGCTCAGCGGATCGAGCGGAGCCGGCCCGGAGCTCTCGAGCGGGTAAGCCCCAGCCGCTACAGAGAGGAGGAGGGGGGGGAGGAGGAGGAGGAGGAGGAGGAGGAGGAGGAGGAGGAGGAGGAGGAGGAGGAGGAGGAGGAGGAGGAGGAGGAGGAGGAGGAGGAGGAGGAGGAGGAGGGAGAGCAGAAAGGCTAGAGGCCCCCGGGCCCGACCCCGCTCCGCTACCAACTGTGGCAGCAGCAGGAGCAAACGAGTGTTTTGCCTCGAGCCAATCGTACGGACACAATCGGGTCGGCCCTTTCGCCCGACCCGACACAAGCGCACTTCGTCAAAACTCCCTTGGCTGAAATCACCTGCTAAACCTATTCGTGAAAATGTGGACCCTCGTCACACCGAGCAGCCTCCTGCATCTGTTCTGGGGACGCCTTCACCAGACTCCCAGGAAGTGCCACCCAGTAGTTTCCACTGACAGGTCCTACGCAAATGCCTGGGCGCCAGCGGTAGGAGGACTGTTTCCCTGCGATGGCTCCGTTCATCTTACGCCATACTGCAACCGTATCTCCTGCCTGAAACACTCGATGCAGTCTCGGACGAGAGTCCAGAGCAATACGAGCAGCCTTCTTCTCGCTATGGGCGAGAATCACGCGGCGGGCCATCGCGCGGATGTGGGCATCACGAGCCGCCACCGAGTCGTGCAAAACAGCTGTTAGCAACCGGGTTCGGATTGTCCTGAAGCACATCCTCGGGAGTTTCTCTGGATTCCTGCCAAAAACCGTTCGGCACGGGGAAACGCCGTTCATGTACAGCTTTTCATCTTGGGGCTGAACCTCATCAGTCACCACCTGCAACCGCTCTTCGACGTACATCCCATGTACTTCCACCTTCCCATTCTGCTCCTCCATCCCTGCCGTATCTACGATGGTTGTCCCATCCCTGTCCATGGCATCCTGGAATTCCACCGACACATTCGCGTTCGCAGCGTCTACCTTCAGCCACTTGGGCCTCATGTACGGCCGGGTCCAGTTGTCCAGACACGTGCGAAGTTATTTGACAGAGGACTCGGTCTCTCCCAGTCGGAGTGATGCCATCACATGCAGGGAGAAGCTTCGCTTACGATATTGGAGCATTTCCGCCGCTCCCCTGACAGGTAGTATGGGAGCTCCTTCACATGCACAGCAATAGACTTCAGAGGAGGCTGAAGAGTTGGGGTGAGCTATATCTCGCAATCCCTGGCTGTCGTCGAGATTCGCAATCATCGCAATGAAAGTTAGCTGCCTGTCGGATGGCCTCGGGACTCGCGTTCGCATGTCGTAGGTGTCGGAGCATCGTCGCCGTCGCCGCATGACCTAGATTAGCATGGAGTCGTCGTGGAGCTGCCCCAAAACTCTGAGGGCGCCTGGGACATTACCGGCCTCCTTCTCCGTCGTCGTCGTCAACAGCACGTACATCACCTCCTCTTCCCCTTCCCGGATCACACATGCCCTCGACAGTCCCTGGAGGATTTTGTTGATAAGCTTGATCGGATAGACATGAGTCCACCGAGGGAGAGAACCCTCCATTGGATTTTGCAGGAGTCGTTTCATCGCATGTAAACCGTAGGTCGCAGCAGTCGAAGGGGCCTCGAAGAGAAATGCCTGTCCCGAGACATCTGATATTCAGCTGTCCGAACACATTCCAGAACTTATCGCTTGGCCTCCTGGAGTTCCCCAAGATGTCGTTTCAGGTCCTTTCGTTACCTGCCCGGGATGAGGTTTTGGAGGGCCGTGAGCTTCTCACACGGGGGAGACACGATGACACAAAGTGGCTCGTATTTCTCGATACGCTCCCAGAGATCCTGCACGTCCTCGGGCACGCGAGCATCCCAGCCGTTGGCCTTGTCGAACGACGCGAAATCTTTCAGGCCATACTGCACTGCCACTGGACATGCTCGGGGAGGCGAGGAGATCTCCACCACGCCCTGCACCCTGTCCATCACGCCCTGTCCACCACGCCCTGCACTCTGATGCTGATGCTGATGCTGCTGCTGATGATGATGACGATGATGATGATGATGGTGATGATGATGCTGATGATGATGATGCTGATGCTGATGCTGATGCTGATGCTGATGCTGCTGCTGCTGATGATGATGCTACTGATACTAATACTGATACTGATACTGATACTGATACTGAGGATGATGATGATGATGATGATGATGATGATGATGATGATGATGATGATGATGATGATTATGATCATGATGATGCTGATGATGATGCTGATGATGCTGATGATGATGCTGATGATGCTGATGACGATGATGATGATGATGATGATGATGATGATGATGATGATGATGATGATGATGATGATGATGATAATGATGATGATGATGATGATGATGATGATGATGATGATGATGATGATGATGATGATGATGATGATGATGATGATGATGATGATGATGATATGATGATGTGATCGCGATTGAGCGCCTTGATGATGATGATGATATGATGATGTGATCGCGATTGAGCGCCTGAAGTTTTACACCACTGTAAAGCATACGGAGGATAAGACACCCACGAGGTAGGTGTGCGACACTGCCACCGCAGAGATGGTTGAACTCGCGGGCAGAGGAGCACAACGTAGTGGCACCATATGGATAGGCCGAACCCGTGACTGCCTGGCGCCGATGCCGCGAGCGTGCGAGGGACACCTGAAGTTCGAGGGGAAGATGCAGGTGAGCGGGAACCCATGCACGCCGTTGCCAAAACATCGGGTGGGGTGCAGGATAATGATCTATGTGTGCGTGTGGGTGTTAAAACACAACCGGCGTCTACGTGGGCACAGGTGGGGAGCCGACCACATTGGTGTGCAGGTGTGCAGCACCAGCATGGACCTCGCACTGCACTGCGGTGAGTGTTGCTTCACCCCGCTGTGTCGAGCTGTCCCAGGCACGGCAGGCCCGCAGGAGCCAGCGCGATGATGGCCCACGGACGCCAACCCCCCATGGTGGGCGTTCAGCCAGCGTGTGAGCCGCCGCCATTGGGAACCGCCTGCGCAGGAGCCTCCGGCCGTGGGGGGCACCTGCGTGGAAACCGCCGCGTCGGAACGCCGCCAGTGGACCCTTGGGAACCGCCGCGTTGGACCCGCCTCCGTGCGAACCGCATCCGTAGGAAAATTTAGGAACTGCCGCGCAGGAGCCGAGGCTAACGGGAACTGCCCGTGGGAGCCGCCGCGTGTGAGCCGCCAGCGTAGGACCCGCCGCCAGTGGAAGGGCAAATTGGAGCCATCAGCGCAGGAACAGACGCCGCCAAGAGGTGCCGCCTGCGCAGGAACCGCCGCCAACAAGTGCCGCTTGCGTGATGGTCGCCGCCAGTGGGAGGGCTAGTCGGGGCCTCCATCGTACGAACCGCTTCTAGTTCGAGGCCCCGTGAGAGCCGCCAGCGTAGAAACCACCGCCAGTCGGAACCGCCTTCGTAGAAACCGTCTGAGAAAGGAGCCGCTGTGTGCGTAAAAACGCCTGCGTAGGGAAGTGCACCAATGGTCGGGACAGCAGGAACCGCCAGCGTATGAGCCGCCGCCAGTGGGACGGCCAGTGGCAGCCGCCAATGGGACCCGCTAGCGTAGGATGTGGCGCCAGTCGGGAACCGCTTGCGTAGGGAACCGCGAGTGGGACCCCCTGCGTAGGAACCGTCGCACGTGGGAACTGCCAGTAGCAGCTGTCAGAGAGAACCGCCGCAAGTCGGAGTCGCCGCCGGAAGCAGCCCCCAGTGGGAACAGCCACCACTAGCCGCTTCCAGTGGAAGGCGCCGCCTGTAGGGGGCCGCCAGCACCGCGAATAGCAGCTGCCGCGAGAGGGAGTTTGAAGTAGAACACCACTGAAGCATAATAGTGTGGGAACGAAATCCACGAGGTAAGTGGGCGACGCTGCCACGGAGGAGATGGCTGAACTCGCGGGCAGACGAAAACAACGTAGTGACACCAGATGGATATGCCGAGCCCGTGCATGTCGGGCGCATGAGGGACAACCGGAGCCCGAGGGGAAGATGATGATGATGATGCAGGTGGACGGGAGCCAATGCACGCCGGGTGCAGGGGATGATGAATATGCGTGTGGGTGTCAAAACACATCCAACGTTAGGGTATGATGCTGAGTATGGTGATGATCATGGTGATGATGTTGCTGGTGGTGGTGATGGTTATGACGATGCGGGTTTATGGTGGTGATGATGATGCTGATGGTGGTGATGATGCTGATGCTGGTGATGGCGATGGTGATGATAACGGTGATGGTGATGGTGATGTCGGTGCTGGTGGTGGTGATGATGATGGCGATGATGACGATGATGGTGATGATGCTGATGATGGTTGTGGTGATCATGAAACTGGCAGTTCTACAGATGATGCTGCTGATGACGCTACTGAAGATGATGATGTTCCTTGTTCCGCTGCTGCTGGTGTTTGTGGTGATGTTGATGAGGAGGAGGAAGAGCAGGAGGAGGAGGAGGAGGGATAAGGTCCGGGGGCGAGGGGTTGGCGGGTGGATCGGGTATACGAGGAATGGAGAGAGAAAGAGAGAGAGAGAGAGAGAGAAATAGAGAGAGAGAGAGATAGATCTATAGAGAGAAAGAGAGATAGAGAGAGAGAGAGAGAGATAGAGAAAGTGAGAGAGAGGGAGAGACAAATAGAGAAAAAGAGAGAGAGAGAGAGAGAAACGACGAAGAACAGGGAGGAGGAAAACGGAAGAGTTGGAGGGATCGCGGAGGACAGGGGGGCGAGGGAGGCAGTGGGGGAGGCACTGCTTCCGGGAAGGGGCCGCCGACGGCAGCCGGGGGAGGCCGCGGGAAGGCTGCCGCGGGGGCCTTCACGGGGGGGCCGCCGAGAGGGCCGCCGAGAGGGCCGCCGAGGGGGGCCGCCAGAGGGGGCCGCCGAGGGGGGCCGCCGAGGACCATGGTGCCCGCCCTTGCCCGGGTCGTGCTCGCCCTCCTCGCGGCCCCCGCCGCCGCGGCCTCCGCCCGCCCGCGCGGCCGCGAGGCGCGCCGCGCCGTCGCCGTCGCCGTCGCCGTCGCCGTCGCCGTCGCCGTCGCCGTCGCCGTCGCCGTCGCCGTCGCCGCCGTCGCCGTCGTCGTCGTCGTCGTCGTCGTCGTCGTCGTCGTCGTCGTCGTCGTCGTCGGGCGATCGATCGATCGATCGATTGATAGGTCGATCGAGGTTCGAGGCTCGAGGAGTGCTTTCGCAATGTTCGGCCTCAGGGGGTCGCTTCGGTCCACCCTCGGCAGGCGTTCATTCCATATGGATTCTCGCAAGGTCGTCGAGAATGGATGTGGGATGAACGCCTGCCGAGGGTGGACGAGGGGAGGGGTTTGGGGTCCGATCTTGAGCAGATTTCGGCCGCCGTCGCCGTCGTCGCCGTCGTCGTCGTCGTCGTCCGCCCTCCGCCCTTCGCCCGGGTTCTCTGCTCCCTGCTCCACCTGTTCGCCCTCGTCTGTCCTCGCCGCCTCGCCACTCCCGTCGACAGTCTTCGTGCGGTGAGTGCCCTCCTCCCCCGCCTGCTTTCCGCGGCCGCCCTCCTTTCTTCCCCTTTTGCTGCCAGACAATTTGTACGCCATGCTTCCTGGGCTACACCTTAGGCGATGCTTTAGAAAACTTAAGTTTTCGGCCAGAGTCTCGATGATTCTTAACGTTTCAATGTAAATCTTAAGATTTTAATAGAAATCTTGGGTTTTTATTCAAGTTCCGAGACTATGAATTTCTTAACCCATGATTTCTTAAGCATTTCGCAGGGTGTACTAGAGCGCGCGTGCGGCTCGCCTCTGCCGCGCCGCGGCGGACAAGTCCGCGCCGCCCCGCTCCGCCACCCTGCCTCATCCATGTCTTCTCACCTCGGGGACGAGTCTGAGGTGGGGAGGGCGAGAGGAGATGAGTCTAGGCCTCCCAGATGGGGTCAGAGTGGATAGGGTCGAAGGATCGCGCAGTATCGTCCATGCAAGTCGATGCATCGGCAACGCGGCTCGATGTGGAACCCGATGCTCTCCAGGCTGGAGTCGCCGATGCATCGCCGATGCATAGCCGATGCATTGGCGATACATCGCCGATGTATCGGCGATTCGTCGCGATCCTCCGACCCCATCTACTCGGACCCCATCTAGGAGGCCTCTAATGAGGGGAGGTCCCCGAGAAAGGCTTCCTGGGAGGACACTCTCTTGCGATCAGAAGGGTTTCTGGAAGGAGCGTGCTAGCTTCTGGCGTCGGAGGTTCTTGCCCTGCCATCTCGTCTTGCGCCGCCAGTGACTTCCGACCGTCTCGACGACGGTGTGGGTCTGACGATGCTCCACGCCGTTTCACACAGGACCTGGTGATTCTTATGCTTCGGGACTCTGAGTATCCAGTTTGTTTCCGGCACCGATGCAGATCTCTTGCCTGCGCCTGAGCGCACTCATCAAGCGGATGAGGAAGAGGAGGAATGGCGGCGAGCGAGGGGGGGAAGTGAGAAGGAGAAGGCCGTCTGAGAGGGCGGCAGAACTTCTCATAAGCCCTCGCGTCTTCTGAGAGGTTTTCTGTGTACTCGGGGAAGGCTCAGAAAGCTATCCCAGACGGCCGGGGGACTTCCGAGCCTTCTGAGAAGGCCTTCTCCTCCTCACCTCACCTCCCCCCCTCGCTCGCCGCCAAGAGGAGGAGCAGGGCGAACAGGAAGGCAAGCGGCCTCTTAGATGCTTCTTGGGGACTCTTCGCATGTCACTCGAGAGCTCCTTCTTGCCTGCTGGGGCGTCTTGGGGAGCCTGGCGCCCCGTGGGCCTCCTGCAGCGTCTCCGGCGCCTCGGGGGGGGCCCTCTCGGGGCACTCCTCGGGGCCTCTTGGGGGCCCCTTGGGGGGCCTCTTGGGGCCTCCTTGGGTCCTCTTGGAGCGCTCTCGGGAGCCTCGGGGGCCACCTTGGGGCCATCTCGGAGGTGTCGATCGAAGAGATGGGAGGTAGTTGCACAATTGGCGTCCCTCTCCCAGGAGGCCAAAATTGGACCAAAGCTTGGCAATTCAATGCTCTTGGCCTTCTCGCCGAGAGCATCTTGGACGCTCCAACCCCTCGCCGCCCCCCCCCCCTCTAGGTCCAGGTGGAGGGGGTATGGGGGAGGGGTCAAGACACCCTCCAAGATAGCAAGCCGGCTAGCTCACTCCCACCCGCCCTCCCAACACATTAGGAACACCCGATCCTCAGCATGTTCAGCGGTCGTTTTTGGATGGACAGCTAGTTACTGGGATCCAAAACCGAGCCCATTTGCGCGACGCTGGGGCGAGGTGCGCCACGCGTGCCAGGCGCACCACGCGCGCCATCCAGGCACCCCGGGGCCCGGGCGTGCCGGGCACGCCTGGTGCGCCAGATGCGCCACGTGCCTCCGCGTGCGCCAGGTGTGCCGCATACTCCAGCCGCGCCAGGTGTGCCACGTTCTGGGCACGTGCAGAGTGTGTCAGGTGCGCCTGCGCACGTGGCAGCAGACATCGGGAAAAATGTCGGCCCCAACCATCCATGTCGAAAACCGATGCCCATCATTGTGTCTGGTGGGCCTGCGCACAGCAGGCCATACGCCGCCACTTGACAGTGATCGCGGGGTGGCCGCGCGTGGTCCAGATTTGGCCGCGAGGTGCGTTTTTCTGCTGTCAGGAATAGTCGCCCTGCGCGCAGCAGGCAATATGCTGATACCCCCGCCGTCCCTTTCAAGAAACAATACAACGTGCCCGGGGGCCTCACGAAGATGACTCCAGACTTTGCCCCACATTGTATGTTGTATTGTTTTCTCATGGTGTCCTCACTGTTTCTGGTTGGCTGCCGGTCGCCTGGGGTAGGGTGTGTACGTTAATAGGGAACAGTTAAGCCCGTCCCCGAAGGGGAAGAAGGGGGTTGGAAGAAGAACCTCGCTAAACCACTTGCGCCCTGAAGGGCTGGTGGGATTACGTGCGCCATTCCGCTGGCGCGCAGGAGAACGACGAAGAGCGGTGCGATGCGCAGGGGGGGGGGCAGCGAGGCAACGGGGGGATACTCCATCTGCGAGCCAGCACAGCGGGAGTCACGGAGGGCCCCGAGGGGAGGACCAGCGCGCAGAGCTCCAAATCAGCGAATGGTCGGGGGCATGGCCTGGACGCGTGTGTGAGCGAAGATTTTGAGCCTGTCTTGTGGTCCTCGTGTGACCAGCCATTCAGGGTCTTTGGAGGGCTCTCTTGGGGCTCTCTTGGGGCTCCCTTGAGGCTGTCTTGGGGCTCTCTTGGAGCCTCCTGGAGCCTCTCAGGGCCATCTTGGCGTCCTTCGGGGGTCTCGGGGTTGTTCCCAACCATCCTGTGGTGTTGGGTCCTCGTTTTGAAGAGACGGCGCCCCGCGTTCCTCACCTCCTCCTCCCCCCCCTCCCTCCTCCCATCATCATCATCATCATCATCATCATCATCATCATCATCATCATCATCATCATCATCATCATCATCATCATCATCATCATCATCATCATCATCATCATCATCATCATCATCATCATCATCATCATCATCATCATCATCATCACATCATCATCATCATCATCATCAGCATCATCATCATCATCATCATCATCATCATCATCATCATCATCATCATCATCATCATCATCATCATCATCATCATCATCATCATCATCATCATCATCATCATCATCATCATCATCATCATCATCATCATCATCATCAGGTTGGGTCATTTCGGAAGGCCCCAGTGGTAGGGTCCGCATGCCTCCCCCCCACCCATTTCGGCACACCCCTCACACGTTTCGTGGCCCCATAGGGAGCTCCACCGAAGGCCCCAGTGGCAAGGTTCGCATGCCTCCCCACCACCCATTTCGGCACACCCCTCACACGTTTCGTGGCCCCATAGGGAGCTCCACCGAAGGCCCCAGTGGCAGGTTCGCATGCCTCCCCACCACCCATTTCGGCACACCCCTCACACGTTTCGTGGCCCCATAGGGAGCTCCACCGAAGGCCCCAGTGGCAGCGTTCGCATGCCTCCCCACCACCCATTTCGGCACACCCCTCACACGTTTCGTGGCCCCATAGGGAGCTCCACCGAAGGCCCCAGTGGCAGGGTCCGCATGCCTCCCACCACCCATTTCGGCACACCCCTCACACGTTTCGTGGCCCCATAGGGAGCTCCACCGAAGGCCCCAGTGGCCTGGTTCGTATGCCTCCCCAACACCATTTCGGCACATCCCTCACACGTTTCGTGGCCCCATAGGGAGCTCCACCGAATGCCCCAGTGGCAGGGTCCGCATGCCTCCCCACCACCCATTTCGGCACACCCCTCACACGTTTCGTGGCCCCATAGGGAGCTCCACCGAAGGCCCCAGTGGCAGGGTCCGCATGCCTCCCCACCACCCATTTCGGCACACCCTCACACACTCCACCGAAGGCCCCAGTTTCTGCCCCATAGGGAGCTCCACCGAAGGCCCCAGTGGGCACACCCCTCACACGTTTCGTGGCCCCATAGGGAGCTCCACCGAAGGCCCCAGTGGCAGGTTCGCATGCCTCCCCACCACCCATTTCGGCACACCCCTCACACGTTTCGTGGCCCCATAGGGAGCTCCACCGAAGGCCCCAGTGGCAGGGTCCGCATGCCTCCCCACCACCCATTTCGGCACACCCCTCACACGTTTCGTGGCCCCATAGGGAGCTCCACCGAAGGCCCCAGTGGCAGGGTCCGCACACGTTTCGTGGCCCCATAGGGAGCCCCACCGACCCCAGTGGCAGGGTTCGCATGCCTCCCCACCACCCATTTCGGCACACCCCTCACACGTTTCGTGGCCCCATAGGGAGCTCCACCGAAGGCCCCAGTGGCAGGGTCCGCATGCCTCCCCACCACCCATTTCGGCACACCCCTCACACGTTTCGTGGCCCCATAGGGAGCTCCACCGAAGGCCCCAGTGGCCTGGTTCGTATGCCTCCCCAACACCCATTTCGGCACATCCCTCACACGTTTCGTGGCCCCATGGGGATTTCCATTGAAGGCCCCAGTGACTGGGTTCGCA